CCATGAACCGGAAGCAGTCACATACAGACGAGGCTGCTTGCTCTGGGCTTACTCCTTCCCTTCAGCAGGCACATAAAGCCTCAGGCAGAAAAGGCGGTGGCAGGTGTTTCTGAAGTGGAAAGTTCTCTGAAATGAGAAGTTCTAACATCTTAGAATGTTCTGATATTTTAGGGGCGGGGGCCCCTTCTGAGCTGCGGAGTCTTGTGAGCAAAAATTCTACTATACGAGCTCCTGGCATTAAGGTTGTGAGTGAGCAATTTGGCTCCTGCATAAATTGGTTTGCTCGTGAGCCATCCTTCCTGAGCTGAGACAAAAATCTGTGAGCCCAAGGCTAGAAGAAGAAGAAGAGATTGGATTTATCCCCCGCCCTTCACTACCCAAAGGTGTCTCAGAGCGGCTTACAAACTCCTTTCCCTTCCCCTCCCCACAACAGACACCCTGTGAGGAAGGTGGGGCTCAGAGAGCTCTTGACAGAAACTGTTCTTTATCAAGAACAGCTCTTATCAGAGCTACGGCTTGCCCAAGGCCATCCAGCCAGGTGCAAATGGAGGAGTGGGGAATCAAACCCGGTTCTTCCAGATTAGAGTCCGCGCACTTAACCGCTATACCACACTGGCTAAAAAACTGTGAGCTAGCTCACACTACCTCAGCTTAGAGGGAACACTGGAACCTGGCTCAAGGGTGCCGGCCAGTACACATGATCCTCCCCTTTTATTTTATTCTCCCAGCAGTGCTGTTGGATAAGTTGCGCTGAGAGAACATGACCGAGGCTAAAGTCACCTAGAGACAGTCTGGTGCCGTGGTTAAGTGCGTGGACTCTAATCTGGGAGAACTGGGTTTGATTCCCCACTCCTCCACTTGTACCTGCTGGTGTGACCTTGGGTCAGTCACAAGTTCTTTCAGAGCTGTCCTTGAAAAAGAGCAGTTTCTGTCAAGAGCTCTCTCAGCCCCACCCACCTCAAAGGGTGTCTGTGGTGGGGAGGGGAAGGGAAAGGAGTTTGTAAGCAGCTCTGAGACACCTTTGGGTAGTGAAGGGCGGGGTATAAATCCAATCTCCTCCTCCTCCTCCTCCTCCTCCTCCTGAGTTTTCCATAGTGAACAGGAATTTGAATACAGGTCTCACCAAGGCCCAGTCCGCTACTCCAACCAAAAATAAACCTTTTTGTGCAAGAGCCACTTTTATTTCAAGAAAGAGATCCCAAGCATTAGAGCAGCCGTCCTCAGCCTTTTTTAGCTGGTGGGCGATCTCTGGAATTTTGACACAGTGCGGTGGGTGCAGCCACAAAACAGCTGTCACGGGAGACCATGGAACAGCTTCCACAGCTTTACCTGCAGCCACACAGTGAAGATACTTGTGCTGCGGTGGCAACTGACACCAAAAGCAATGATGTGAAAAATCTGAAAAGCCAATCAAATCTCCAAAGGCCAATCGGAATCACTGCTGGGCCAAAGCCCCACCTACTTTTGAAAAACACTTGACAAGCACCACAAAAGGTATCAGTGGGCCCCATGGGACCCACAGGCTCCCAGCTGGGGACCCCCATATGAGAAGACAAATAGAAATCCCTCCAGTTTGGTGTAGTGGTTAGGAGCGCGAACTCTAATCCAGGAGAACTGGGTTTGATCCCAACTCCTCCACATGCAGCTGCTGGTGTGACCTTGGGTCAGTCACAAGTTCTCTCAGAGCTGTTCTCTCATGGGCAGCTCTCTCTCGAGAGCTCTCTCAGCCCGACCTACCTCACAGGGTGTCTGTTGGTGGGAGGGGAAGGGAAAGGAGATTGTAAGCCGCTCTGAGACTCCTTCGGTTAGTGAAGGGCGGGGTATAAATCCAATTTCTTCTTCTTCTTCTCTACTAGAGACATTCATGTCAGGCACCTTTGCTTTTGGGGAAAATAGAAAACTTCCTCCTGTTCCCAAATTACTCTTTATCATAAGCGCACGTACATGGGAGTTGTCTCCGTGACGTTTTTAAGCCTTGGCCAGGTGTGTGGCCAGGAGAGTGTTCTGATGAAGTGTTGTCTAGTGAGGCAAAAAGAGACAGCAGGGATGAGCAAGCTGCTCCGGGTGAGAAGCCTGTTATCGGGGGGGGGGGAATGTCCAGTGCTACCCAACTATGGCTGCTAAGCAGCACACATGGAAAACGGAAGGCATTTCCTCCCAGCTGTGGCTCTTCTTGGGGAGAGAGAACTTGGCCGTATACATATATGCTCCAGTCATAAGAGGCTAGACGACCAGACCACTCTGTATGAGAGACGGCCTTTAAAAAGCATCTGGAAAATCCAGATGGTGCAAAACACAATGACCAGATTGTTAACTGATCCTAAGCACTGTGAACATATCACCCCAGTGTGACAGGATCCCCTCCGACTTCCAGGTTTGTTTCTGTGCTGAGTTCAAATGGCTGGTACTGATTTTTAAAGCCCGAAACAGCTTGGGCTGCCAGTTCCTGCACAAACCTGTCAATCAGTGAACATTTCCCCCGGAGACCATTATCTGCATACTCCTGCCTTCTGAAGGTAAGCCATTCTGTTCACATTCAGGCACCACAGAAAGTTCACGGCATTCTCTTTTGTTTTACGGACTTTTTATTATTCTGTTTTAGTGCTGCTTTTATTCTTGATTTTTACATTTCTGCTGCTAGACATTACTTGGTTTCTCTGTTTTTGTTTTTATTGTGTTACATTACAAGCAGGGATGCTAGGCCGCCTCCTGGCACTCCCCCAGTAGCTTTGGGGGTGTATGCGGGTGTGTGGCAAGGGGCAGATATTGCACTGCATTAGGTGTCAATGTTGCATCCGGGCAAAAGTGCAGATCTGACATCGTTTCTGCCCCCAGTGTGCTCCCATCTGCCCCAGAAGCAGGTAGAAAGGCTCAGCAGAAGGAGGCCACCGGCATACTTAACGGCAAGCCACCTTGAAGGCTTTGTGCCAAAAGGTGGGGGAGAAATCTCAGAAGAACCAGTAGCATCAAAGCATGCAGGAGAAGTCATTTAACATCACGGCCCCTCCAGTGCCTTTACCAATCAGTGAGTTCAAACTGTGTGTACCGAATCAACTCTCTCTTTGATGTGGTGGTTGAGCGTGCGGACTCTAATCTGGGAGAATTGGGTTTATTTCCCCATTCCTCCACTTGCACCTGCTGGATGACCTTGGGCAAGCTGTAGTTCTGGCACAGCTGTCCTTGAAAAAGAGCAGTTTCTGTCAGAGCTCTCTCAGCCCCGCCTACCTCACAGGGTGTCTGTTGTGGGGAGGGGAAGGGAAAGCCGCTCTGAGACTCCCTTGGCTAGTGAAGGGCAGGGTATAAATCCAATCTCTTCTCTTCTGTGGAGCCTCCTTGAATCCAGGCAGAAAAGCAGCGTATAGATTGGGAGGGGGAGTCACACAAGCACAGCTGTACCTGAGGCTTGCCTTTAAAGTGTTCGGAAAATGCAGCTGAGGCCAAGAGCAGTCTTAGTCAGCAGGCAAAAGAAGCACCTACCCCTTTAAGCTGTGGAGTCCTGTGAGCAGAAATTCTACTTTGTGAGCTCCTGGCATTAAAGTTGTGAGCCAGCGATTGGGCCACTGCATCAATTAGTTTGCTCTGGAGCCCTCCTTCCTGAGTGAGGGCAAAAATGTGTGAGCCGGAGGCTAAAGAACCGTGAGCTAGCTCACACTAACTCAGCTTAGAGGGAACACTGATCCCCCCCCCAAAGCTTGGGCAGCTGGTTCCCAGCAGCAGCACCCCCCACCATCTCACACAGGGCGAGGGGCTGCCCTTTGCCTGGGTCCCAGGGGCAGGTGATTCCTGGGCCCTCTCCTGGACTTTTTCCAGGGCCCCAACACCCCACCACCAATGCTCCCTCTAAGCTGGGGAGTCTTCTGTGCAAAAATTCTACTTTGTGAGCTACTGGCATTAAAGTTGTGAGCGAGCGAATTGGCTACTGCATAAGTTAGTTTGCTCTGGAGCCCTCCTTCCTGAGTGAGGGCAAAAATGAGTGAGCCAGAGGCTAAAAAACTGTGAGCTAGCTCACACTAACTCAGCTTAGAGGGAACACTGCCCACCACCACTACTGTCTGGCGCCCAATACAACAGCTAGATTCCAAGCCCTGATCAAACTTCAAGGAGCACGTACTAGCACAGGGTTCTCCTCTTCTCCACTTAAGCCTCACAACAGCCCTGTGAGGTAGGCTAGGTCAAAGCTGAGTGACTAAAGTCAGCTGACAATGCATCACAGACAAGCCTAACGAACAAGCAAACAAACTCTGCATTGCTTTTCGACGAGCAGGTGCAAAGGAGGATTTCCCCACGGAGATTCCCAGACGGCAGCAGACCAGCTAAAGAGGAAAAGGGTCCCCCTGAGCATATACAGAGTGCGCGGCCTTCCCGTACCCTCAAAGAGCCATCAATAATAAACAGCACCCCGGCCTGACGGGCTCCTCCCTTCGTGGCACGGGCCAGGCGCGTAACCCAGATCCTGCCGCTCCCGGCAACGGGCCGGTCACCAGCTGCCCCGCTTTCCGGACTGGCACTGCGGCCGACCACTCAGAAAGCGACACTGGGCCCCCTCGACCAATCACGTAGAAGATGCGGGGGGGAAGTGGGCGGGAGAAACGCGCGCTTTTCCTCAATCGGAGCAGGGCGGCTCCCCTCGGCCAGCGGCCGGGACCCCGCCGACACGGCCGGGCTCCGGCTGGGCTCCGTCTTACCCCCGGTTGTGGCTGTGCTCGTCCTCGTTCTCACAGTCGCTGCAGTGCTCGTGGGCGCTCTCCTCCCCCGACGGCCGCTTCACTGCTGTCTCACTGTCGTCCGCCATCTTGGCAACGGGGAAGCCTCGCCGGGTGCCGCGCCTGCGCAGTGCCGAACGCCTAGCAGCGAAGGGACGCTCCAGACCGCGGTTTTCCCTGGGACGCGTAGTTTTCTTTTAGGTTGCAGGAAGCCCTAGGCCGGACCAATAGGGAGCGATGTGGGCGGGGCGGGGGAGGAGCAGTTCTAATATAAGGGCCGGGGAGCTTTGCAGTGGCATGCCGGGAGTTGAAGTTTCCAGTTGGGATAACAACTTCAGCGCAGGTAACGCGCGGTAGTGGATTGAAAATTACTCTTCCTAATTGTGGAGCAAAGTCTGAGTACAGAGTGGCACCTTGAAGACCAACAGAGAGCCAGTTTGGTGTAGTGGTTAAGTGTGCGGACTCTAATCTGGGAGAACCAGGTTTGATTCCCCACTTCTCCACTTGCACCTGCTGGTGTGACCTTGGGTCAGTCACAAGTTCTCCCAGAGTTCTTCTCTCAAGGGCAGTCCCCGAAAGAGCTCTCTCAGCCCCACCTACCTCACAGGGTGTCTGTTGTGGGGAGGGGAGGGGAAAGGAGTTTGTAAGCCGCTCTGAGACTCCGAGTGAAGGGCGGAGTATAAATCCAATCTCTTCTTCTTCAAAGTTTTCTTCTGGTTATAAATTTTCATGTGCACCAACAAAGTTCAATTCTGGGTATAAACT